CTCGTTTAGCTGGAGTGGCGTCGCCACAACAGTAATACCCTTGCCTCGCATTCTCATGGCCTCGCCATATCTTGGAGATTTCAAAATTTCGGCCCGAACGGAAGCCACAAAGGGTACACGTGTGCACACAAAAGGAAGATTAATCATTGAATGTCGAGTATTTGAATAGCGTTTTGTGTAAACTAATTCATGCTTGATCGGCCAAGTGCGTGCTCGCACTTGGCCGATCACACACACACACACACACACACACACACACACACATTTATTTATTTATTTATTTATTTTTTCCGGAATTTTCAGAAAAGTCCACTTTCATCTCTGCAGAAACCAAGACCCTTTACAATATTGGAAATGGAATCAGAAAACATATCCACATCTGCACCAACTTTCATTTAAAACTCTCTGCTCACTATCGTCATCTGAGCCATGTGAAAGAGTATTTTCTGAGGCTGGGGAACTGGTGTCTCAGAGGAGAAATTGCCTTGGAGCAAAGACACTCCAAAAACTTTTGTTCCTCAATAAAAATTCATAAACTAATCACTTTTTTGTCTTTTATTTCACATGATTTAACATAGATTTTCTACGTCAGTTAAAAATCTGAATTGTAACTCAAATTTGCTGTATTTTACATACCAACTCAGTTTAAGATTTATATAAACAAGGAATTTCTTTACCTGTAATGATTTTATAACTACTGCAGGGGTCACTATTGGGTGACCAACACAGTGTCAATACAGCGCTGACATAGTTTGTGAAGTGGGTCAATACACTCCTTGAGGTATCATCGTCCCATCACTAGTCAGCGGCTTACTTATGCAGTATACCCACGTGTCACCCCTCAAGGTGGCTGGATAAACGGAAGAAAAATCTGTGTGACACGTCTCTTCTGCTTTTATTAGAATTAGTCGAGTATAACACACACAGCATATATAGTGGACACACCGGAAGTTGGAACGGTTCCTTCAAAGTAAAACAGGAAATAATTGAGAGCATATATGTCTATTCACAACACTGTCACTTTTTAGATCAAGAAACGTTTGCACATATAAATATTGTGGCTTGTTCATTTGCTCATTGTTTCGCTGAGTGTTAGGCTGCCTTCAGATCACTTCACTCACCTCACCTGGCCAAAACAACGCTATTATTCAGGCTGCTTGTGTTTTTGCAGGCAGTGTATAGGGCATTACAAAACTAGCCATTTCCAGAAACATTACGTTTCTCGGCAACATACTACATGAAACTGCAATGCACCGTAAAGCCATTTCATTTGTTATGTGTTGTCAGCACAAAATATCCCCATGTGCCGAGGAAAAGCACCGTGCTTTCGAGACGCTAAATGAGACACACAGAATGGCACACACCGCAGACGGTCATTTAGAACACAGGTGTCAAAGGCATGGCCCGGGGGCCAGATCTGGCCCACCACATCATTTTATGTCGCCCGCGAGAGCAAATCAAGCATGTGAAGTTCCATGATGCTTGCTAAAGTCTGAACCAAAATTTCAAATTGTCATATGTAATCCACAATAACAGTGATTATTTTTTTACTACAGATTTTAAAACTAGTTATCCATGAATTTGTTGAGTGCTGTGTATGTAATATGTGGAGGTGATTAAACATTTATATGGTTTCCCAAAATTCCAAACGGCCCTCGAAGGGAAACCGTAACGACAATGTGGCCCGCGACAAAAATGAGTTTGACACCCCTGATTTAGAACCTCCTTCCAGCCACTTGATCCATCCTCATTGAAGACAGGACTCCCACTTGTCTGTTCCTCACATCCTAGTGTTCCTCTACAGCCCCAGTAAGCTGCACACATCCTTCTAAATATCATGAAAAGTGTAAGTTCAGTAGTTTGTTGTTAATGAATGGATGGCTCTACTTTAAGAAACGGCAAAAGGAAAGATGTGTGTGTGTGTTGTCTCCAGCAGGTGGCAGTGGAGGGCTCATTCTCCCATTCCGCACCTGTTCCTTGTCATGTCATTACCTGTCACCTCACAGATTTAACTTCTTCCAGGTAGAGACTGTCAAGCCATCACCAGTTGTCGGATAATTCGTCTTTCTCACGTCCCATGTCCAAGCACTTATTTTCTTGGCCTATGTCGTTCTCAGTCATTGTCTGGGTTTGTATTTCTTGTTTGTTCCGCTTTTACCTTTCTTGTTTATAGTGAATGCTCGGATCGTTTTGTTTTTTTCTTGTTGAATGGCTTTTCCTTGTCTCTTTATTTTTGTCTTGTTGTTTTATCTTGCTGTTTGCAAGCGCTTTGATTTGACTCGTTCATCTCCTGGTATTTTGTTACTAGAGTTGTACTTTGTCAGTCTTGTGACCTTATTTTGTAAATAAACATTTTTTTACTCAATCTTATCCCTGTCTGAATTTGTAGGATCCGCTCATGTTCTGGACTGGTCCGGAATCATAACAGTTACTGACAACGTCAGTTTTTTTTTCACTGAAAACACTGTTATCAGTTTGTATTCAGGATCCCCTGTATGACAGAGGTTTGATTAACATTTTGCAACAAATTCTGTCCCGATGGGCTTTGCTTTCATTTCATTGTTGATGGCAGGGATGGGCATTGGTCCATCAGTCCGTCACTGACAAACGTCTGTTTTCCTGACAAATGATGACAAACTTAAAAAAACAAACACAAAAAATTAGTCCTTAGTCACTAAGGACTGACTGAAGTGGGTTTTCATCTCTCAGTGTAATCATCACTAACCGGGTTAAGTACTGACGGACCTCTCAGTTCGTCACCGATGGATGCCCGTTTTGCTGACAACTGACAGAAACACGCAAGAAAAATACCTGCAAGAAGTTAAATCTGTAAAGTGAGGAGACGGTTCATTTTGGACCTCTTGCCTGGTCTATAGTAAGATAATAATAATTACTAAATGATTCTCATAATTTAGATTGCCCTCTTAACCTTCAGGTTTCATGTTCTTCCTTGGAGAAGGAAAAAAGGAGACAGAGAAACAATGCAAGCCAGCTTGCGCATTTTTCCCTTTTCATAGAAGCCGCTATGTCCCAAACCATGACTGATTACCACCAAAATGCATGCGGAAATGGATAAAAACACAATGAAATAGTGTATATATATATATATATATATATATATAAATTAGAACAAAACTCGCAATATATTTCATTTACATCATAAGGTTGCCTCGTCGAGTGAAAATGTTCTGTCAACTCTTGGAAAAAAACAAAACAAAAAAAAAACACGTGAGGGTAGATAAAATACAGTAACTCCCAATATTTTGGATGATATTAATGCCGGAATTCTGTCCTGTCCGTTTAAAGAATGAATCTATCCAGGAATAGACTTTGTGTGCGTTGAATAATGACAAAATCACATTGCATTGGATGTTCCTCTGGCCACACATCAATCAATCATACACCTTAAAGTGGATCGTGTTTTTTTTACCTTTTGCACCAATAATTTCTTGTTTATTTTTACACCAGTTGCATCTAATTTATGGTCCATTACCTGGTTTAAATCATCTCCACATATACACACAGGCTACGAGGTCCCAAAGAATTCTTTAAGAAGGTTTGGCGCCCTCCAGTGGGGCATATTTATCAATGTGACTCCAGGCTGTCCAAGCATTCCTCTTATGATGACATTTCTTTCTTTTTATCCCAAATCTGTTTGACATTTAAATTTATTGAAGCAGGATAATTTAAAAAATCGTTTTGTGATAAATGTGTTTCTTGCAAGAAGATGAGCTGTTTTTTTTTCTCCCCCCTCCTCTTTAATTTTAACAAGCACATTTGCTCTTTTGATTGGATTTGCGAGCCCATTTACGTTTAAAGGACAGGACTTGAATAGGATACTTGGATGAGGTGTAAATCTCCCGCAAGGCGAATAATGTTTGTTTGCCAGCTTCATTCCCATTTTTGGTCAACCCCACATGAGAGGCAAA